CCAATCCCTTGCCGGCCCATATTCTGTCTGCGGGGGCTAATACAGCAAATTACAGCAGCCGGGCTCTGGGACACAGGGGGGTTTATAGCCGCATAGCTCTGTAGAGAAATAAAAGCATTTTGAAGGAATCCTCCACATTCATTCCGGTGAAAAAGACTTTTGGGGTCAGCGGGTGAGAGCAATGAAATATTTAACACAAGACATTGGAAAACTTTATTGTGCTTCTGCACTGGCACCAGGGTTGCCATCTTTGTTCTAACAAAATAAGGGACAGAGCCTCCCTTCACATCAGAGTCCCCCCATCATAACAGAGACCCCTTCACATCAGAGCCCCCTCTCAACATCAGAGCTCCCCTTCACATCAGAGCTCCCCTTCACATCAGAGTCCCCCCATCATATCAGAGCCCCCTTCACATCAGAGTCCCCCCATCATATCAGAGCCCCCTTCACATCAGAGTCCCCCCATCATATCAGAGCCCCCTTCACATCAGAGTCCCCCCATCATATCAGAGCCCCCTTCACATCAGAGTCCCCCCATCATATCAGAGCCCCCTTCACATCAGAGTCCCCCCATCATATCAGAGCCCCCTTCACATCAGAGTCCCCCCATCATATCAGAGCCCCCTTCACATCAGAGTCCCCCCATCATATCAGAGCCCCCTTCACATCAGAGTCCCCCCATCATATCAGAGCCCCCTTCACATCAGAGTCCCCCCATCATATCAGAGCCCCCTTCACATCAGAGTCCCCCCATCATATCAGAGCCCCCTTCACATCAGAGTCCCCCCATCATATCAGAGCCCCCTTCACATCAGAGTCCCCCCATCATATCAGAGCCCCCTTCACATCAGAGTCCCCCCATCATATCAGAGCCCCCTTCACATCAGAGTCCCCCCATCATATCAGAGCCCCCTTCACATCAGAGTCCCCCCATCATATCAGAGCCCCCTTCACATCAGAGCCCCCCTTCACATCAAAGTCCCCCCTTCATATCAGAGTCCTCTTCACATCAGGGCCCCCCTTCACATCAGAGCCCCCCTTCACATCAAAGTCCTCCCTTCACATCAGAGTCCAACTTTCACGTCAGAGCCCTCTTCACATCAGTGACCCCCATCACAGTAGAGTGCCCCCTTCACATCAGCATCTCCATTTCAAATCAGAGTCTGAACGGAGGCAGATTTCCATCCTCTTCCAAATGCCGGGGAAGGTCTTGGATGTCACCCGCTCTGGGTTAGCATCATCCATTTCCAGGGTGCAGATGGCTGGCCCACCTGCAACATGGAAACGCATGACGCTATGCATAAATTTGACTCCACCCCTGACAAAGCCAGAGGGCACCGCAGTGGAGGAAGTCTGATCTACAGTCCTGAGGACAATTATCTGTGCCAGGACAAGGCCAAGATGCCAGGCTACAACATGGACCATGCTTGCGCATGCTGTCCGCCCCCCATGGGAAACCGAGCACCCTGGCAGAGGGTGGTGCAATGTGGTTAATCCAGTGCAATTGAGTCATAATAACCATCAGGGAACCATCATTAACATTGTGATCATCAATATTTGTTCTTCCGTCTGGCTACTTGGAGGGCAATAAATGAATTGAAAATGCAAATAACCGCCTGAAATTCATCACTTTTATCAAAGCACTAAAAATATGTGTCCAGTACGCAGCATGGCGCCGGGATTGATAAATGAAGCGGAGGCTCAAAAAAAGATGTTCTGTGTAAAATGCTGCACTACAAAACCAAATAGACAAAATGGCCGAAAACACAAAGTACAATCACCGACATAGAGATGAATTGTTACAATAGGATTACATTGTATTTACGAATGAAGACTGTTGCTGTTTGCAGACTTTATTATTATTATTATTATAGTATTTATATGGCGCCAACAGTTTGCGCAGCACTTTACAATGTAAGGAAGACATTACAATTACAATACAATTCAAGACAAGATGATAAGGAGGGCCCTGCCCCTGAGGGCTTGCAATCTAAAAGAGGAGGGGCCAGTGATACATGAGGAGGTAGCTGTGTGCGGATGAATTGTTTGAGAACGTGATGGACGTTATTCACATAGGAGCCACTGTCAGAGGAGCCCCACCGATTGTGCCAGGAAAGCCGCTCTCCCTGTGTAACAGAAATGAAGAAGACAAACAAATGTTCAACGGTGTTTCCTTCCTAGTAGCCCAAACCCCCCGTTTAATGATTATTACGGGAAAGACAGCACAGGATTGACTGCATTACAAATTGTCAATCTAACACTACAAATGTGAACTTCATGAACGTTCGGAATGTGCTACGGGATCCCAAAACCGAAAATACCCCATTATGGCCAGTAGATGGAGCTGAGGAGCATCGGGGAGAAGCATTCGTGTCCTAGGCACATCAGCCCAATCTAGTGGCCATAGTGCAGTATTACATGATGACATTTGAAATTACATTAGCCATACATATACTGCATAATATATATATATATATATGCATACATACATACACTACACTATATATATATATATATACATACACTATATTTCCAAAAAAAAAGGGACGCCTTTACACGCACATGTACTTTAATGGCATCCCAGTCTTAGTCCGTAGGGTTCAACATTGAGTTGGCTCCGCCCTTTCCCGGTATAACGCCGGGTGGTAAGTTGTTTTCTACATTTAACCCTGCTCTGGGCAAGCAGGGCTGAATGTAGAGCGGGGAAGCCGCTTGTTTGTTTACAAGTGATCTCAGCAATGTCTCCTCGCTGTAAATTCTTCAGGCTCCGTCCTCCCCCCGCCGCGTACCTCTCTTTGCCGGCCGGAGATCCTCAGGATGAAGAGTGGGGAGCAGAGCAGAGAGCGTGCGTTCTCCGCTCTGCTTCGTGTAAACAGTGAGAGGGGAGAGCTACACTCGCAGCCTTCCCCACTCAGCTGTCACAGGAGAGCCAGCACAGTGCTGTGTTGGAACTCCTGTATTGGAGGTGACAGGTTCAATAAAAAGAAACTGTCAACTCCAAATGCTATCACACTGGGGATTGTTAGCTCCTGTGTGATAGCAATAAAGTTCAGTAAAAAAAAAATTTGATTAAAAAAATCAAATTAAAAAATTAAAAAGTGATAAAAAAGTAAAAAAAAAAACCCACAATACAAATAATTAAAACTAACCCCGCTGCCCCCGCCATCTGGTTGCCATTCTCCATGGGGGGGGCGGGGGGGGGGCGCATTGAGCAACCTGGCCTTGGGGCAGCAGGGAGAGTAAACCAGGCCCTGCAAACAACTATGTGATCATAAATGGCTTCCTGTGATCACTATCCTTAACTAAAAACCAGTTTTTTGGAATGATCGGTCATATCTTCCGTACCAATGCCAAATGTCACCATTTCTGCCAGGGTGTGCAAACTTTTGAGCACCACTGTATATCTTTCCCAGTGCTTGACATAGCATCTCATAGCATTCACTTCCGCAGTATCTTCTTCCATATCCTGTGTATGACTTTGAGAGATCACATGACCCACTCCATTTCTTGTTCTGCTACATCTTCTGTCTGCTGAAAAGTGACAGTTAAAAAAAGAAATCCGCACGCCCGCGCCTGCAGTGTGTGTTAGTAATAGTACATGTTTACCCCACTGTAAAACACGCCTCCAAACACCTGTTTGCCATAACGTGGTTACATGGCCGACTGCCCTCAGAAAACGAGCTAATGGAAGTCACGGATATAAAAGCCCAAAGTGGGAGAGTGGCCTCCTATGTGTGTTCTCAGCGCAGATGGCACAAGATAACGCTAAGTGCTGGATTTCTGCCACCATCAGACCCAGATATATCGCCTCCATCTTCCAGAGGTCGCACCGCCCTTATCAGCTGCTCCTAATGGTCCTGACCGCACAGCTGATGGTGACAAGGTGACTGCAACTAATGAGCATTGACAAAGGTCGCCGCTGCTGAGCCCACCCAGCCGGGAGGAGCCACTAGGAGAGCCTCCATGTGGTGTACATCGTACTGTATATACAATGATATCAAAGCATCCAAAGAGATGAAGCAAATACAAAAAGGTGCCCAGACCTATAACCTCCACCTAAATCTCCAGCAAACTCCAACAGGTCAGCCCACCCAAACGTGCTATATAAATCCGACCTCCGTCCTTCCCTTCAGTCTTCTATCTAACCTCCGTCCTTCCCTTCAGTCCTCTATCTGACCTCCGTCCTTCCCTTCAGTCTTCTATCTAACCTCCGTCCTTCCCTTCAGTCCTCTATCTGACCTCCGTCCTTCCCTTCAGTCTTCTATCTAACCTCCGTCCTTCCCTTCAGTCCTCTATCTGACCTCCGTCCTTCCCTTCAGTCTTCTATCTGACCTCCGTCCTTCCCTTCAGTCTTCTATCTGACCTCCGTCCTTCCCTTCAGTCTTCTTTCTGACCTCCGTCCTTCCCTTCAGTCTTCTATCTGACCTCGGAGGTCAGATAGAATGATCGGTCTTCTATCTGACCTCGGAGGTCAGATAGAAGACTGAAGGGGAGGACGGAAGTCAGATATAAGACTGAAGGGAAGGACGGAGGTCAGATATAAGACTGAAGGGGAGGACGGAGGTCAGATAGAAGACTGAAGGGGAGGCCGGAGTTATATTGAAACTGTGAAATGACATGAACATGTTAAAGTCTCGGTGAGGTTTTAGCAGTCTGGTTTCCATCTACTTTAGCAGAGTTCTGAGATTAATAGATGTGTTTCGCGGGCTCCCGTTGGGGCATTAGATTGTAAGCTCTTTGGGCTCAGGGGGACGATATAAGTGCCGATCATGCAGACAATTCTGCTGCAATAGAAAGGTGTTCTGGGGTCTGAGCTCGTTCTAGGAAGAATCCTGACAAATAATATAAAAGGAAACAATATTCGATACTTATTAGAATGCTCATACGAGAGCCACTTCCCAGGTGAGGGAGTTATCAGGTGACTATGGATGAGGAAGTGTGTACTGCGCCCCTGCATAGGCAGCGAGATAAGCGGCACACACACCTCCCTCGTGAGGATCTCCGTCCCCTCCTGCTCCTGGCTCTCCTTCTCATCTCGCCTGCTCTGGCAGTATGAGTGGAAATGCTCGGCTCGCCGTGCTCCTCCAGAACTGGCACCCACCGATGTGACGCCGGACGAGACTTCAAAAGGTAAGACGAATTATTTTTTCTGCACCGCAGAAGCACCGGACTGAGCCGAAACGCCGCGCCGCCAAAATGCTGCGCCCAGGGCGGCGTCCCGACGCTAGCGGCGAGCGAATCCATTTACAAATCTGTCCCATTTCTACGATTCCCAGGCAGACCTGTACAGCCGTAGATCTGGAATTGCGCCATCTTTTACGGCGTTGGGTTTGCGCGCTTTGCCGGTTGCGAACAAGCGTTCAGTCTGCTCTTCGCCGTCTGCCCGACATTTGCAATCGTTGGGAATAATTTTGGCGTTATCCTTGATGGTCCATTGATCCCGGAACGGCGCGATTATCGTAAAAAGACCGCATGACGCACGGCTTGTGACCTACGACCGCGCATGCATGACGTGTTACGCAAAGATTTCCCGGTGTGTTGCGCAATCTCTGATCGCTCTCCTCCTGCTATAGAAATGGGATCGGTCCCTCAGCCGCGTGCGCAGTGCAGCTGGACGATCGCTCTCGGCTGCTGCCGCAATATTCACGTTGGCGGGGAGGCCCCCCTCTGCAAGTCATTGATCATCTCAGGCATACACTGACCTGGTCATGGGGGGGCTGCCATTGCTCATCTCCTTCTGAAAAATGCCTCTCGCCTGGATAAAATGCTGACCCCAAGCATCGAAGCCATCGGATCAGCATGACATTTGGGCAACTGGCAGCTTTAGTTTACAGTTGTCAAACCATTTACCACTGATATTTCAGATTTTGGTGGATGCCCAAGCGATGAGTGGTGTCACCCCCAGACTTCTTAGATATAAACCGGGGTGACACCTCTGCGTTTGAGTTCTCAGCTCCGCCCCCCTTCAGCAGCCATAGCCAAGGGGGGCTGTATGTTTGACACTGGATCCTATGGAGAATGCAGCAGGAGGAGTGAGACTTCAAGGCCAGTGGGAGCAGAGCCCTGGAACCCTGGAACCATAGCTGGGAGTTTAGGAGCGATAAAGGAACAAAATGTGCTCGGCGTGATAATGTCCGCCGAAAACTGAAATATGGGAATGAGCCCCCTCATAGATAGATAGATAGATAATGTATTTTTTTTTCTTTCGATAGA